AAAAAATAAAAACTAAGAAAAAGAGTTTTCGCTATGAATTCATAATACAAAATATAAATTATATAAAAATAATTATTAATTTACGACAAAATCATTATTTAAATCATAATTAAACAAATGATTTCCGATTTCTCAATGAACAACAAGAGCTCAAAACAAACGCAAAAGTTTGGCTCAAAAATACACATTAGTTTTTGATTTCACGTTATTTTTTGTACTCAAATATTAATGGGATTTTAAATTAATACACAGAACGGCACGTAATGTCACACTAATAGCCGGGTCATCGCTCAACACGTGTTTCAACACATTTTCATTTCAAATAACTACACATTTAATCAACAATTTTGTGTTCATTCTTACGGTGAAAGTATAGATTGAAAAACGTTTTGAAACTTTTATTACAGTTTTGCTCGAAACACGTGTTGAGGGCCTTATCATCGACGGCACCGGCATCACCGCCGGCACCGGTAGTACCAGCCCTAAGGTGACCGTCCACCACATGTGTCTTAAGATCGTAAATACTGTCGTAACTCTTATTACACGCATTATAGTAGCATTTGAAACGTTTGGCCTCTAATTGGGGACCGAAGTCCAGGTGCTGTCGGCGGCGGTGTTGCAGTAAATGTGTCTTTTGGGTGAACTTCTTCCCGCAGTTGTGGTAATCGCAACAAAACGGCTTTAGACCCAAATGTACGGTATTTTTATGTCTCTTGAGATTCACTTTCTTGTTGAACATTTGATCGCAATTCTCGTAATCACACGAATACAGGGTTTGATTCAAATGGACGACCGATTTGTGTTGAATCAGTAGTGTCTTCAACGTAAATGTTTTGCTGCAACCGTTGTATTCGCAGCGAAACTCCTTTTTCGAGGACTGGCCGTTGGCTCGCGAGCTCCCGGTGCTCCCCATACCTATCGTAAGGGGTTTGACGCCCGGTGTGGGTGTGTGGGCGCCGACACCACTCTTAACAGCACTCTTGTGGGCAGTGATCGTGTCGTGCGATTTGATGGCAAACACTGTACTCTCGTTACTACTCGAGTGACGGCTACTGTTATCATACATATGGCTATTATGGCACTCATTGCTGTCATTACTATCGGTTCCCGTTGTGGTGGTTGTGTTGACAATAACCTCGTGTTTCACTGGATCCATACCACTGTTACTATCACTAACACCAACACTATTACTACTATTACTGTAACCACAGGTGTCGGCGCTCTTGGCGTGTCTGGCCTGACCCCTGACCGGCTGGTGACTGGACTTGTGTTTCGCGAGATTAGTCTTGTATTTGAAGACTTTGTTGCAGCCCTTGAATGGACAGCAAAACTGTTTGCACTTATAGTGCACCGAATAGTGTTGTTTCAACTGATCCCTGGCCGCCGTCTTGAACTCGCACTTCGGCCAAAAGCACTTCAACGGTGTCTTGAGGTCACCGAAACCGCTGCCACTGTCACCACTCACACGACTGTCCACACGACTGTCCACATTAGTGTTATTAACGTTGATTTTGCACACTTTGGCGGCAATACCGGCGCCGCAGCCGTTGCTGTCGTTGTTGTTGGTGTCGGCGGTGGTGGTCATCGCGAGTCCAACCGTGCGATTGGTGTCCAGCGAGTGGTGATAGTCGTCGAGTCGCGAGGAAATGCTATACAATTGTGTCAAACGTGTGATACTTTGCCGCAACTGATCCGCAAATGGCTTGTGATTGCATTCATTGGCTGTTAAACGCATGGCTTAGGCATCGCTGGACGTGTCGTAAGCATTACTGGCCGTCACTTAGGGCCCTATTTTCGGCACTATTTTCGCGTTTTTATTGTCTCTCCAATCGTTGCATTCAAAGCCGTTATGAATAGCAAAGCACTCAATGAACATAACATGTGTTTTTCGTACAGCTATTACGTCCACCATTCAGGCACGACCTGTAGATCCCTGTGTGAGCTGTCTGTCCAGCTGTCTGTCAGTCTATGGGACAAGCGATCGGTAAATGAGTGAATAGTTTGCGGTTAAATAGTGTGATATATCGGTGGAAAGGGGTTACGATTGAGTTAAATGTCAATTAATGTGGGTTTTTGGGGGTTATAATGTATTTTTAGTTTTGTAAGTTTTTGCATTAATTTGTTAATTTAGATGACATTTTGTATGCATAGTTGACTCAAACAATAAACATAATCCATAACTTACGTTGAACTGAATATATCTGTGAACCCCGGTATAGTGTACATGAATTTATAAATATTAATAAGCTTAATTAAATTATTGTGCTAGATGAGTTACTAGAAAAAACTGTAATATGATATCTTATTTTTAATAAAATGGTTTCAGTATAATAAGCAACCAATCATGTAAGATTAAGTACAAGTATTGATTTAACCTTGTTTACTATATACGAGACGTAATTCAATAGACATTCAAAGGGTTAAC